AATTTTCAGTAGTGTGTGTGTGAGGTGTTCAGCAGTGAATATGAGAGTATTTCAGTAGTGTGTGTGCAAGGCCAGATGTTTTCAGTAGTGTGTGTGAGGTGTTCAGCAGTGTATATGAGAGTATTTCAGTAGTGTGTGTGCAAGGCCAGACGTTTTCAGTAGNCTTTAAGCAGATTAATGACCTGACGTTTAAAAGTAAGACAATCATCAAGCCAAGGACAAGTACTCAAAGTGGTTACCTGTTATAAATACCTAGGTATCTGGCTTGATGATTGTCTTACTTTTAAACGTCAGGTCATTAATCTGCTTAAAGGGTTAGACTAGGTTTCTTTTTCAGAAACAAGTCCTGTTTCTCATTTGAAGCCAGGAAAAGGCTAGTCACTGTGACCTTTTTACCTGTTGTTACATCCCGTCCCCCTACCAAGCGGTAGTGGCTCGTGGAAAGACCCGCAACATAAAAACAACCACGCCAAACACAGAATTTTGTTAACGACGGGCATTTATTGGTAGCACAGCCGTAACTCATATGCATGCCTACCGGCAGAAATGAACCAAGTCTGGAGGACAGCGTAAAACAAAAAAAAGAAGAAGGGGGCCTGGGCCAGCCACACCATGGGCCGTAGGACCCAGACTTCCCTCCTCTACCCAGAGGTCCAAGCACAGCCTACTGGGAAGGAAACAAAGCCGCGAAAAAACCTATGCTAATATCCTCCAGAGTTCACACAATAAAATACAGCATAAATATGTATATCCACACGAGGCGAGAGGAAAACCACGGTCGTCATCCCTCGGTTTCAAGACGGGAAAAGAGAGACTTCTTCTCTGGACTATGGTGATTTGATCTATATGAATGCACCTGCCCATTGCCTGGAAAAGTTAGATGTCAAAGCACTTATTCATCACTGTACCCTGTATGCCAGGGCGGGTCTGCCTTCACTAACTGTACGGAGGCTCAGTCATTGGTACATGTTCATCTATAAAGCCATGTTGGGTAAACTACCTTTTTATATCTGATCTCTGATCTCTCGACGAATTGAAAGCACTTATTGCCTGAAATCTCATGATGTTGTTTTATTAAATGTGCCAAGTGCTAGGACTGTCTTAGGGAAGAAAGCTTTTAGTTGTGCAGCTCCACTAAATTGGTCTGCAAACATGTTTAAAACTGAGCACTTTGGTTCCCCTGCTTCATTTTAAAACTCGGCTGGGTGACATGCTGTTTGATACTCATGGTACCTTGTCACTGTAAATAGAGTTTGTAAACTGTACCCTGTACATTATGTTGAATGTCATCCTTATTGTTGTTCTGTTGTTTTTATGTTACATGTGTAACTAATGTCCTGCAGGTCACCCTTGAAAAAGAGATCTTTTGATCTCAAGGGGCTTTCACCTGGTTAAATAAAGGCTACAAACAAGCTATTGTGCCACTTCTCCCCAATTCGGAATGTGATTGTATCGGAGAAGAGGTAGGCCTATGTCTAAAGAAATGTCATTTGCAATAGAACTGTACCAGATATTTCCATACAACGACTGGTTAGTGTTCAATAGCACCCTAGACAATTCAGTAATGGTATATTTTTTAGGGATTTCTTTTTTTCTTATAAATGAGGGAAAAGTGATGGAGTCCTATGTTCCTATCACCAAAAAGTACAATTTCCGTCTAAACTTAAGCTAAGTTTACAGGACTATAATTCAGTATTTCTTTAGTTAAATAATTGTCTGACTATTTGGTGATGTAGGACAGCCACTTGGTTCATACCTCAGCAAATCTGAAGAGGAAAAGATTGGCCATTCTCAAGTTATGGGCTTTTTTGTCACCTTTCCCATATTCGGACTGGTCTAATTTGGCTCATTTGGTCTACCTCACCCAATCAAACTTGTAACTTCTATTTACACTACCACCACCACAGCATTAATAAAACATTGTTTCAGGCCATTTGGTCAGCTCAGCCAAAGGGGGAAAATTGGCTATTGATTAGGCAATTTTTGCCAGTGTTTATGTACGTCCCTATTATAAAATCAAGTGCTCAGTACATGTCCTATGAGCTCTGTATTATTCAGTTTCTAACATGTTCAATTATTCCTTGTGGAAAAAAAAGAATCGATTACATTCACCTAAACTCGCTTGACTTTGCATGCTTTCCATGTTAATAAATTGATTCTTGCCATTCGCAGTGCGTCATTCCAAAGCTATAACGCCGATATACACAACCTGAAAGTGGCCATCCTGTAGGGGAATACGTCTCTACATGAAATGTTTTAAAAGAGCAGGACTCACTCCTGTTAATACTATATACTATTGGGTAGTAAAGGGTTACGTGCAAACAGATGTACTGCACTGTATGTACTGAAACAAAGAAACATTTAGCAAATGCATTCACTTTAACCCCTCCTGTGTCAATGAGTATATCAATACATATCATTACACACGCTCACTTTAAACATCTTGAGGCCGCAGTCTGATGAGAGTGTACTGTAGCCCATTAACACTTAATATCCTTGACAATTGTTTCACACTAACAATAATGGCTTCCATTCTAAAGAGAGACGGCAGCATATGATGGCTTGGCAACTCATACCCAGAGCTTTTAGAAAGATACAAATTGCTCTCCTGCCAATTCATCGAAAGCCAGATTCAGCTACATACTGTACATCTTCAGGCTAATTTAATTGAATGAGGGAATAAAGGTTTATCATATTTATGTATTCCTCAAATCATCCTAAAAATTTGTAAAATTGAAATAAAGTTCTAAAGCTTTATGAGGATATATTAGTTGTCTGCAGAAGATTTAATAATGTGCCCAGTTTAACTTCAAGCCGAGCTCCCAATGTTCCAACGCGATACTCTGAATGCGTGTTCATACACAAATGGTCTCCAAGCCATTGTCTAATTATGAAGCTAAAGACCGACATTGCACCACTTATCAATTTGAATAGTGTTGACAAAAATCCTGCATATTAATACACTGGCAGAATATGATCAATGTGTGAAAGCTGCATCTTTGTACTGCTGGAGCGCATACAAGGCCTACACCATCACTTACTTTCACACATGTGTTCATCTTACTTAGCAGGGGCCACTCTGGAGAACACAAATATATGAAATGGGATTAGTCAGCAGGCTAGCAAATGATCATCACACAAAAACATCTAAGCCAGGCAAACAAACAGGTCCCTCTAATGATTTCCCAAAAAGCCATTTATATATTTGTAGATGGGCCAAAGTCACACACGCTTCATATGCTATCGACTACGAATGGTAATGGCACAGTTAAAACGGTCACGGTGTACTAGTTCTTTATTTCCTTTCACGTCAATGTACTTGTCAACATGACACCCGCTCCACGCATTGTTAAATATTTTATTCACTCTCATCAATAAGATGTCTTTACTGGGGGATTGTGTTGTGGCTCGCTGTGACTTCTACCACTTGTCTCTGGCTGTGAAAACATCGAGTGTGAGCTCCATGTGAGCAGATGGGGGCTTGTGTGGGTCAACGGGACATTGGAAGCATTTTTTTTATATTTAATACTGAATAGCCTGGCATCAAACTATTCATATCTTTGGATTACTTTGGCTAAGTACATTCAGTATACAGCTTTTGTGTTATTATAGAAATCTCAAAGTCTTCACTGTTTGTATATTGCACCTGCTTTTCAAACCAGTTAAACCCTTACCCTTTTTTGATTTTCTAAAAACACATAGGCTAAAGAGTTATTTTCTTATTTTCGTATCTTATATGCAGTCTTAAGCCATAAGGAATACAAAGGAAATCCAGAAGAAATATCCCTAAACATGCTCATATACTCAAGATATATACATTTACTGTAAGAGAGCCAAAATAAGATTGAATATTGGAAACGATCAAAAGTTTACACAAATATGACTCTAAATAAAATGCTAATGCTGTGTATACTATGTGCTAGCTGTTTTGAATTATCAACAGTTAGCTAACACGTTTGTCATATCAACGTAAAAAGACAATAATATTTCCTCATATATTTTCAGTGTTGTGTTACCAGCTTGTTTCTGCTGTTCCAGCAGTTAGCATCACAAGGGGTCCCTCGAGAAAAACAAACTAGCCCACATCACGGTCTTAATGTCACCAGCGCTATGCTAAAGGTGGCTAATGCGCTAAGCTAAAGGCAGCAAAATGGCATCTAGTCTCTCATCTTGTTAGCAACTGCCGTTTTCAACACACGTAAAAGCTTCATACATTTACAAATGGTCCAATAATTACATTCATGCAGATAAAGTGGATTTTTCTTGGAAACGAGCTAAAGTTATGTTAAAATGCAGTGTTACTTACCAAATTGCATCTGATCTGTTGATCTATGAGATCTACATCTCTTAAATCATCTCAAGCACAGAGGTGTACAATTTAAAGGGGCAAGTGTTTATGGATAAGCAAAACATTAAAAAAATTACCCAACTTCAAATTGAATGAAAACTACATAAAGGACATGAATACATTGGTTCAGCTAAGCCATGGACTTGGTTCATACAGTATGGGTCTGGTTGTTGGTGCGGCAGCAGTGTATAGGCAGAACCAATATCTGGTGTTGTGAGTGGCTATTTTTTTGTCGTTATTTCTGTATTATGGGATGAGATAGCTCTGAGTGACAGGATAAATTGAGGTCGGGAAATGGAGGTCAGACAAATACACTGTGCACCATGGCTCACAGATTTTTTGCCTCTAGCTTTTGTTGATATTGGGCTCAACAAGGTCTCCCTGATGTCACAGATCCTCTCTCTTCTGCTGTATGATATCCATCAGTGATCCACCCCTGCAGTGGCCGCTTCCTGCCCACAGGAAAATACCCATTTTCTCATTTAATGCCTCAGGTTTAACTCTCTCTTCAGCCCTCCCACACTGTCCATCTCCTGATGTTGGCTGAACACCACCACCAACGCTTTGACTGACCGCCCAAATCCAGCTAATGATTCCTATAAACTGGAATTGATTCAATGTTCGTGTCGCTCTGTCTGCTTCCCCCCTGTAGGCTGGACCCAGGCTTTATCTCACAGATTCTCCAGCTGTTGACCCTTGTTTTATACTATTGGGCCCCTGTTTGTCGCTTCCTGTCTGGCTTTACTGAGCGATGAAGATCCCTCTGTGGTACCTGGCGGTGCTGCTGGCGTGTCTCTTCACCCCTGGACGCAGTGACTGCCCGGGGGACTGCGTGGCCTGCGGTCTGCTCCTGGAGCAGCAGCAGCTGCAGCAAGCCTTCAACACCATGGTGAGTACGTGAGGGTGTGCATGTGTGTTGATAAGAGCATCCACCTTGGCAACAGTGCCTTTAGCACCCTGATTAAAGTGTGTTTGTATATTCAATCACGATAAGAGCTTCTGCGTAATGCGTTGTTTGACACTACTTTGTGCACTTTGTTTGCCTTTATGAGAGTGAATATGGGGGAAGAATAATGTGATTTTTGTATCTTTCACATGCTTTGAAATCTTATTTTTAAGTATTTTATCAAAAGAAATGTGTGTACTTTTATTTGTACGGTATTATGGTGGTTAAAGGGATAAAAAGCATATGAAGTACATATTTAGTGTCAATTAAAGCCAAAAAGCCTCTACACAAATCTTTTCCAAACTATTTTAAACCGATAAGAAAGAGAAAACTAATCATGTAAAAAAGGAAATAAAAAAGGGAAAATAATACGTAATAAAGATAATTGATTTCCTCTCAAATATATATATATATATATATATATTATTGTATAGCAAAATGTCCAGTTGTAAGAAAAATAAATAAAGAAGTATTTGAAATAATTTGCAAATAAATAGAAAGGATGAGGGAAAAAATAAAGAGGGGGAAAAAAATAAAGAGAGAAAAATAAATAATAAAGAGAATACATTTTTGTTTAGAATCTAATTGTGAGTGTGTAGCAAAATTGACAATTGTGAGAAATACAATCCAGGAAGTCCTGTTTGAGTAAGAGACCAGATGTAGTGATGAGCACCTACTGCTAAATATAATTCTTAAATAAAGCTGTTTATTTCTGAGCTCCTCAACATTTTAGAGATCCATTTCCTCCAGATAGAATTGGTATTATTTCTGTTTCCTATTGGAGGGGGTTATTTACATGTGTGAGTATCTCCATCACTTGTGCAATGCTTCGTGACCAACATGAAGACACCAGCTTCTGCACAGAGAGAACGCTCTCTGAATTCAAACCCAAACTCGAGTGCAGCACACAATCTCATTTCCAAACAGTGTGAGACGCGTCAGCGGGGTAAAAATAGTCCGTGGGCGTCCATGAATAGCTGTAGAATGGCTAATTTAGCTGATAATGATGCAGAGAAAGACAGCTGGGACCTTTTTGGGAGTTGTAATAGAACTCTGCAATTGACTGCTGCTCGGTATCATCAGCCGGGGCTTACATCGGTGACTGACACATTTTATCAGTTCCTCATTGTGTTAGCTGCTTTCCCATTGAGCCACAGATGGAATCCGCCAAGCAATTCCCTTGTTTCCCCTCTCCAGACTGAAAGAGTGTGTGTGAAGACACCGGTGTTTGTTACATTGTCAAGAGCATTGATTTATTCGTGCACACACCTACACACCCGACTGCACACGCACCCAGACACACTCACACATCAAGTGTTTCCTAGTAGCTTCCCATCCACTGACTGCACTCAATGCCAATCTTGAAGGTAAATGCCAGCAGATGTATACATTTGTGCTAATCATCTGTGTAACAGCTTTTATTTACATAATTCTAAGCAGCTTCTGTATCATTTTTCTTATATAAAATCCTGATACATTTTTAATTACCTTCTTTAGAGGCCATTTGGTACACATAGCTGTCTGTTGTGAAATCATAACTTACAGTTTAAAGTGCAGCAGATATGGTACTCCTTATTTTTGTCAGTAGAATGACATCGAGTTTAGATTATTGTACACCACTGAAGTAGTGATGGAAGAAGAGTTGTAGCTGTGATATGGAGAAATGAAATCGAAAGTAATACTCAAAATGTAAAGTTAGTTAGGAGATATAAAGTATTAACAAAAGTTTTGAGAAACTTCACACTGGAATAGGTTCAACAACAGCCAATCTATAGGGGGAAATCTAGTTTGGTTAAATAAAGCAACTTGGAAAATGTAGTTAAAGAATACATACGCTTAACACAAACCCAACGTTTTTTTAAATGTCTCCGTTTTAAGGGGTTCTATAATGCTGCAGTAATTCCTCGGTAAAGAGATGAAAATATCCTAAAATATAGTTTTAACTTAATTTATTATTACTTAAAACTTTTTTTTTTTTTTGAGGTGGCTAAAATGCACTTTTTTGCTGCCTCGTACAGTGAATATCTGTTTCTCCCAACTGGGGTCGTTACGCCCTTTTTTATGCAACTTCTAAGTAACTCTACCCTTTCATCCTTAAACGTATGATGTGATGTAGTTAGTTATCATGATTAGACGTCCTCTTTGTTTTAGTCACATCAATAATCCCATATGGTCTCATAAGATAACGTGTTGGATTGATGGTTGCATCATTATCATGGCATTTAGACAGTTATGTGTAGAGTTCAAGTGTACACCATGGGGTGGCCAGGTAGATAACAAGGGTGACCCTTAATGCCCTTGTTCCCTCCATTCCCTAAATACGTTCCTGTAAGTGAGGAGTTTATGTCCCCTATCCCAACAACAACATAATCCTATTTAGTTTTTAGTTTTAATGACTTTGTTTGATTGATGGCAGAGCTTGTGACAAAGGTCCCCAGCCACAATTGAACCTGGGATGGTGTGATTAGTCTAACCTTCACATCATTTTTAAGTCCAAACCGTTAACCATTCTCTTGACAAAATAAAGCATTTTAAAGCATCCACAATATGGATGAATCTTACAGCCTTTTTTATCTTATGGCCTTCACACACACACACACACACACACACACACACACACACACACACACACACACACACACACACACACACACACACACACACACACACACACACACACACACACACACACACACACACACACACATAAACTCCTTTAGATTGCTCCGTTGATCAGACGTGGAGAATCCCCTGGTGTGCTCATTTAATTTACGATGGATAATTAATTTCCGCTCATAGATTCACAGCGGAACTCCCTCTCCTCTCATCCCTTTGATGTGAGCAGGTTTTCCCTTAACAATGCAATTTATCTCATTTGTGAGAGATTTGACGAGTAAATGGGGTCTGGAGTTTAAGAAGAAGGGAGAAAGGAGAGATGTGCAGCTGTAGCTGTATTTACTCTGTCTGTAAAGAAAGTAATGCATTGTGGTTTTCTACTTTCAAGAGTATTAATGGAAAACTCAGTCCTATCTGAATTGAGGCAGCAGGTTAAGTGTTTGGGCAGAATTGTTTCAGGACTTAAAATGCAAATATTGGTGCACTTGCAAAGTTTTTGTACGATGGCCTCTCCTTGCAAACACGCTACGCAACGGCTTAGGAAAAACACTGCACTTTCAACAGTGTTAATGTAAAAACACTACTGTGCCAAAAGAACATGCAAATTAATAAACATATTCACCAACACATGCACAGCATTTAAAAACATTCACCAACTTGATGAAACATTGTGTTTTGTCAGTATATTTGAAATGACTAGGTTAGCGACATTAGCTAGCTAGCTTACAGCAAATCTGTAATAATATCGGAAGGAATTATGCTGTCACATTGTTAAAATAAGCCAATAAATCCTACATTTGAGGTTGGTTTCCAGTGACAGTTGGCCAACTTTATAATCCCCGAATGTCATTGAGTCCCAGCTATGTGCATCACTGTTTAGTGTCCCTGTTTCCGTTGTGAGCTTCTTGTAGCGAATAGTAAATATTATTATTTGCAGCGTGTTGATTATGCAGCATCTTTAGTAAACGCTGCACGTATTTCTTAATTTGCATGTGTTTTGCCATGTGTGTTCTTTGTCATTTGCATTTTTTTTGAGCATCGTATTTGCAGCACGATATTCCTAATGGAAGTGTTTTGGGATGTTGTAAAGCCTTTGCCCCTTGCCCCTGGTGTGGCCACCATAGTTTTGGCAACAAAAACAAGAATCATAGCTGATAAAGCAGATGAAACAAAGTGGAAATGTTCTTCATTTGTCCTTACAGTACCTTCATACTGGTGTTATACTGTAACTGCCAACTGTCAGGTGTGATTATAATAAAGCCGCACAGGGAGTCACTGATTTGACTCTGACGAAGCACATTCTACATAAAAAGCGCTATTCCAAAATACAATGCATATCATTTTAAGAGCAAATGTATCATTACCAAAAGTTGAAGAGCCAATCTGAAAAAGATTGGACCTAATTAACCTGCTGTCCTTCAAACCGACTTGTTATTTCTTCCAATTTTGTGCTGTCAATCACTTAGCAAAGGTAGAAGTCCCATTTACCAAATGATGGACGTCTCATATTGGCACGTAATGTTCCGAACACGGCAGGAACAGCTATCCCATTAACTCCCATGAAACACACGCCATCCATGTCAAGAAACTGCTTTCTCAGCCTGGGTGCGGTTGTACAGAAAAGTTGTAACACTTTTCACGTTAAAAAAGAAGTGTGATTGCGTTCCATAAATGATACGATGACCTTGGACAATATATCTATAAACCTTGCACTCAAATCAACCTAATCAGCTTATTTGCGAGATATAATACAAAACTACTTTATGCATCTGGAACTAAAGTGGGAAATTATTCAATCATTAAGAGGATTTTATCTTACTCCTCCTCACTGATGGCCTGATTAGTGATGAGGCAGGAGGTGACCATGAGTGTCTTTAGAGCTGCATTTTTCGTTATCTTTATATGAGAAATGGCTGCAACGATCATGTGTGACAAACCCAGAGAGAATGACAGACTCTGCAAACTCCCTCAGCTCTATGCAGTATTTCCTTGTTTTGGCATATCAGTCTACAACTTTTTGTTAAGTCTCTCTGCTTTCATTACTATTTTCCAACTAATTTACTGATCACACACAGTACTGTGGTGCTACTATGGTACTGGTGAATGACGGCCCCCTAAAACTCATGGATTTTGTCATGAATGTATGCTGCTACTGTATGGAGTAAAACATTAGGCTAGTAGCTTGGCTAGTGAGAAATGTCAAGCCTCACTGTGTCACAATATGCTGTTGTCAGCCTGTTACCGTGTGTTTTTTTTAGGCCCTCACGTTACACCCGTTCTGAATGTTATTAACAGGGGTGCACACAACTTTCTCAGTGAGGTACTCAGATGAGTACTTGGAGTCAGTGTTTGGTACTCCAACTTCCGGCTCCCCTCAAAGTTCCCATGAAGCCCTCTGTATCGCGAATATCAGCGGGTGGGGGTGCTAGTGGAGTATGATGAAGCCCTCTGTATCGCGAATGTCAACGGGGGGGGTGGGTAGTAGTAGTAGAGTGCAGAGCTTCGTGACCACAGAGCGTGTGAACGTTGTGATCAGCTGTTTTAGCGCAGTGCTGCTGTACAGGCCGACGTTAACAGCAGCCCTGTCTTTGCACACGGAGACCGACTCCGTCGTCCGGTGATCTAACCGCCTTATGGAAAAGCTTCACATATACATCTGTACGCAAATGCGCTTTGTGACACAAGTGACGGTACGCATTTCAGATTGTTGCCGCGCATGCGTACCTGCGTACCACTTATGTGCACCCCTGGTTATTAACCCATTTTGTGGCAAAACTATACCTAACTGCACATTGTGAAACAGTTCACATTTTTAAACATGTGGTTTAATCCATTGTGAACTACTAAAACAAGGCTTAGGGTAGAGGCAACAAAACAACAAAAGATCATGATTTGGGTTCAAATCTTTTTTTACATAACGTACGTTATTTTATGTGCATTCAGTACGTAGCTACCGTTAAGGATCTAAGTTAAGTATGTTATGGACACGGAAGGCAGTCTTCTGGGAGTGACGCTGTCTTTGCCACTCTTTTATAGGTTATATAATAATCAATAATAGAAGACAACATGCTGCTAAACCCATGATGACACAAATCTATGCTAACGATGATAAATAACAACGACGATCTAATGGGATAATAACACGTGAAGTGAGTGCATGTTGCCGCCTGTGGGGATTTATCTCTTTGTTTGGCCATTCTGAGAAAGTGTCAATACTCTCCAATGAAACACCAAGAGTCTCAGCAGCCTGACTAAAGAGTAGGAAAACCTACGGATTAAGTCTTTAATTGGTTTTCAGGCCTTCAAACTGGTTGCCTCTAAAACTCTCTACAGTACTTATCCCCCGGCTGGAGAGTGTTTTGACATTAAGTAAACATAAAAGGACCACAATCTTAAACTTTGTATCATTCTAGAACCTAAACTCACTCTGTCTCTCTGCAGGTGTGCTTGCTGGAGTGTGAGGGTCACGTCTCTGCTTCGATCACATGGGAGGTCTGTAAACGTGCTGTCAAGCTATCGCACCATCCCACACTTTCCGAGGTAGGCGCTCTGTTCAAGAGAACCGGAGAGGAGCTGGAGTTGACCTCTCTTGACCTGAACTCGGACAGTGAACTGCTGCAGTCTGCAACCGCAGAGCACTTCCAGGAGGGGGAGCAGGAGGAGGCCCCCTTTGAGCAGCGCAGTGCCCAGTATGACTCATCACTGCTGGAATCCTCCGAGGAGGGGGAGGGCCTGCAGGGCCTGGATCTCAGTCTGGAAGAGAGGAAGCAGAGGAATGTGGAGAGTGACAGCCAGCTAGAAGTGGAAGAAGATGACGGCTCGGAGGCCATCACCTTATCCAAACGCTTTGGTGGCTTTCAGAGGGGGCGCCATGGATACAGGAAGCTGATTGGCTCGCCCATTAGGCCCCTACAAAAGCGCTACGGCGGGTTCATAGGTGTCCGCAAATCAGCCCGTAAATGGAACAGTCAGAAACGTGTGAACCAGCTGCTCAGGCAGTACCTGGGCATGAGGAGCAGCCGCAGTGGCCGGCTCACCAACAACCCTGTAACTCGGGTGTGGAGGCAAAACAAACTGTAATGTATTTCTGTTGCTCTCACTACCCCAGTTACCTCGACCAATCATGTTTCCAGCAGCTCACTCCAATTTGAAGTGTGACGTCACCAACAGACTCCGCCATCTCGCTGCACCTCTCTCTGTGTCTCTCAGTAATGAGGAATGTTTTGACCTTGATGTCCTTCTTATTAAGCATATTTTCATGCCATTATGTGAAATAAAAATAATTAGAGAAGTTCAATTGAATATATTTTTGTGTGTTGGTGTAATAAAAGGGGCCAAATGAGATCGGAAAACAGGTTCACTGCAAGCTTATCACCAGACGTGAGCCTGAGGGTGTGACATTTAAAGTCATGTTTAATGCACTTTCATCAATGTGTGGATGGGACTGAAGTAGCTTCAGTTTTTTTTTTGCACTCTGTAGTTTGTTACAAATGTCCAGCTCTCATGTAATAGACTTAATTTTGCTACATATGTGTCCTTTTAAAATGAAATGGACCAATTGGACCAGCACGGTGCTTTCAAGATGGTTCCATCAGACGGTTGGACAGTGCTAGCACAAACTATTAATTACTAGTTAAAGAATCTAATTTTCTGCGTGAGGAACATAATTAATTAAACACAACAGAGGTGAAATTGGTTTTCTGAAAGCACCAAAGCTCAGCATCTCCCCTGAAAGAAAAAAAGCCTTGTTCTCATTGCTGAGTATTGGCAAAAACACGTCTTTGTCCTTTCTAATGTATTCTGATTTTGGCCATTTATCCGGGGTTATTAAACTGCAAGCGATGATTTTCTCTTACAGGAATGAGCAGCAGGTTGTCAGGCTCCATGAGGTTCTCTAAATGGAACAACACTGTCCTCTAGTGTTTGAGGAACAAACATGATGCCTTTGGATTCTGACTGGGGATCAGTTTTGCCGCGTTCTCAGCTAAATTGTATGCCATTTTGGATTTGTCTGCGGTTATAGTAAATTAGGATATTACCATAATATGTCAAACATTACATGTCACAGTCAAATTTAGAGATCAGAAAATCAAAAATAGAAAATAGAAATTCCAGTTTTGTAATCCTTCATTCTCTGAGTAGGCTATTAATAGTTTCTGTATGAAAGATAACGGATTAGACACAAATATTGTTGCATTTTTAAAAGATTCTTTGGAGCCCCCATTGACTTAAAACTTGAACATTTGAACACCCTTCCTCGAACTAAAATTGAATGTGCATCATTCATTTAACTATTAAACATAACTAAATGTCACCCATAACCTGTATCTGAATAGAATAGTACAGTTTTACTATGACCATAAATATTCAAATTTAAAAAAGTTTGATTAAGGTTGAATATTACTGCCACTCAATTTAAAAAAGCAATACTGTCTTAATATACAAAGGCGTAAGAAGCCTGTAGTAGCATGTTCTCCCTGCAGCCAAATTACAAATATGAGTTATATTATAATTTTCGTATGGTTCCTAATTCACCCTGCAATTATAGAAATTAGGCAGTTAAAGTCTTGTTAAGGCGTAACTCAGGACCAAGGAGAAACTAATTCCCAGTCAGTTTTCAAACATTACTCCACCCAAGGTTATTTGCACAGCTGTTAATGACACTGTAGTCCAATTATACCTAAGTGCATGAAGCACTGGGTGTGTGTCGCACGTTAGGATGGTAAAGGAGGTGAAACCAGCTCTGAAAACCATCGTCTTAATAAACCATTCAAGAGCAGAGAGATGAAATGAACTTTGCATGTCAGATGGGATCATTATTTTAAGGAATATGTTTCTGCCTGGGTGAAAAAGTGTTTTTTCCTGAAAGATCTTTACCCCACTTGTAGCTCACAGTCATTATTTTGCATCTTAATAGTATTTATTAATGTTTGACTATGAGGTGTAATGCCTATGGGTGTGTGGGTGATCGCAAAGTGTGTGACTGTGCACATGCATGTGTGCATTTCTCTGTCTATCCGACACTCAAAAAATTGAATTTGTGAATACAGTGTACATTTCAGACGACATTTCTAACATTATACCATTGTTCTAAGTCTTCATACAAAATGTGTATAGAGAAAACTACAATAAAATAGTTTGCTATTTCTTTTGTGGACTGTCATGGAGAAGAAAAAAATACATTTCAAGTTATCAGTGCTTTTTAATTTGTGTTTGACAATATATTTTTTCTCTTATTTATTGCTATTACAAACTCGTTTCCCTAACGCTAGTCGTCCCACTGTCATGACTCGATAGCTTCAGGGATAAAACCTTTAACACTGGTCGTATGCCAACACATGGGCAGGAAGAAAATATGAACTTGGTTGAGTCGAACCAATTTTAGCTTATTCTTGTAAGTTTATATTCCAACAAAGTGCCAAAAAACATGAAAGTTCCCAAAAAATAATCTGCCCAATACACAGGCAGAACGAGACAATAAAAAAAAAGGTATAAAATACTCGTACGTAACTCAAAGCACACAATATAATGTACATCATAACCACTGTGTAACCACTGGAAGAGAAGGTTGGAATAAAGAAAAACAGCCAAGTAGCAATCTAATACAGTGGAGCTACAGGGGCAGTTATATAACCTTTGGATAAAGTAGAAGAGTATTGTAGGCTTAGCACGTCACATGGTTAAAGTCAGTCAACAGTTAGCACCATCGCAGACTTCAGTTTTCAGGATCAAGTTACAAAGATACAGAAAAGTTCATTTGCATTTCTTCAGAAAGAAAATTAAAAGGTTGAGGCTACATCCACACGGATACGATCTCCGTAAACACAAGCGTTTTAGCACCGTTTCAGAAAGAACCTCCGCCAATATTAACACGCCTGATAACACACATCACATGACCATTCATTTACACTGGGTCTGCGTGTGCCGGTGTAAACAGAAAACTGATTGTCTACTGTGAGGTTAGTTGTTTAGTTCCAGAAAGTACTACATAAGAACAACAGCAATGGCGGAAAGTATCACCAGAGACGAGGTTCAACTGTTACTGACAGAAACGCAAAAATATTAAGGCGGTAAATGCCGTGAAAATAATCCATAGATTGGGAGTCAGTGCAAAGCAGATACATTAATGTTGTTGCTTTTCGGTAAAATAAGTAATAGGGACCTGTTGAAGTGGGAAAGGACAGGATCTACAAAGACATGCAAAAAGTAAGCTAACGTAAGCGTCATCATTTCAAAATAATCAGTTGCCTGTTAAACAACAGTACGCTGACATAGGATTTAAAAAGACCGTTTCCACTTGTACAAGAACAGTAAACTAGCGTAGGCTTTAGCACTTTCAAAAAACAATTTCTCCTCCTGTCAAGCAACCGTAAGCTAACATAGGCTTTAGCATTTTTAAAAGACTCTGTTTCTGCCTTTTCAAGAACAGTAAGCTAACGTAGGCTTTAGCATTTTCAAAATAAATGTTTTTTTGCCTTTAAAACAACAGTTAGTGTTAGCTTTGAAAAGACTGTTTCCACCTGTGCAAGAAAAGTAAGCTAGCGTAGGCTTTAGCCTTTTAAAAGACTCTATTTCTGCCTGTAAAAGAACAGTAAGCTAACGTAGGCTTCATCATTTCAAAAGATTCTGTTCCTGCCTGTCCGGACTGAAATCCCAGAATTTTCAGACTTAAATGGGGTCAGCAATGTTTCAAAAGTCTCTGCTTTATTGGTTCAAAATCACCAATTTTGTTATGTGGACACTAGGCGTTAATGTATCAATATTATGTGTTTTAACACGAAAAATGTATTTATGTGGATGTAGCCTGAAAATAAAAACAGAAATGTGTTTTTTCTTATAGGCTCTCAGGCCCAGGATTATATCCTCTTTTTGATAAAAGTCTCTTTTTATCATTCATCCATTCATTCACGTCTTCGTCTCTCATGCTCTCGCTCTTCATCACACAACAGTCTTTAGTCGGGGAAGCGCTGGCAGGCTTTTTTCCAGCGACAGGCGGTGCACCACTGATCCTTGCGCTCCACTCCATACACCTTACGGCACTTTTTGGCCTCACCACGACCCTTCCTGCAGATGCAAAGACAAAAATCATGAGGAGGAGAAGGGATGTGAGGAAGCAGAAAATGAAGGGGTGCTTACACCAACGCTTAATGTGATCAAACTCTATAAAGGTAGATGAGACTGAGGGAAGATAGAGTGATAACAAATGAAGAGAAGATTTAATCAATTTTATCTCTCCTGGCCAAGCAGTAAAAATGTGAGTTTGCAGGCGGCAGCAAAGTGGGAGATAAAATGGCCACCCGCAGGTGAAAAATATTGGACAGACACTGCAATCAAAAGAGAAAACAGCAGATAGATGTGTGGCCCCAGATCAATAAAGATTCATTTACACTCAATGTTCAAACTGCATGGCACCTCTCCGATAGTGTTCTGCAGTGATATGCCAAATATAAATCTGTCTGTCTATAACTGTCAAATTGTAAAGGTCATCATTAGCTCGCCCAACCACTCAATCCTCAAAATAATAAACTGCAGATACTATGATAACTGTTTTATAGTTGGAGTCCTAGGTTAGACATTTAGTGTGGGACTTGCTACTTTGTTGTCTTGTGTAGATAATTAATTTAATAACTTTTGATTTTGAGCATTCGTAACCAAAAAAAATACATTTGATGATGTCACATTGGTATTTAGGAAATTGTGATGGACATTTTCAACTAGTGTGTGATATTTTATTGCTTGAAAATCCTCTCAGCACTCACCTGAAGGAGCAGTGAGTGCGGGAGGGGGAAGCAGTCATAGGCTGCAGCCTGTTCTGCTGGAGCCACTGTTCCCCCACACTGACGGAGCGACAGCGAGGCTTCACCACCTGAAGAAACATTACCTCACATTTAGTACAAATGCACAAGGAGTATCATACAAGGGACAGAAAATGTGTTCCGATTATTTTATAGATATCTGTCAAGACATGTTTCGTTGTCTTCTTTATAGGTTATTATGTTACAATGTGAAAGAGACTAAATGATAGAGAAACATCATATAAGTCAGAATAGGACAGAAGACCCACCGGAGTGTTACTATGGCCAGAGACGGAGGCAGAGGGGTTCCAACCCTCGCACCCGGGGGTCCTTGAGGCCACAGATACCTGGACGGGGCTGCAGGCCTGGATGAAGCAAAAGAGGGAAGACAACACATGATCCATCTTATCGGTTTGATCTTATTTATTTTGTCATATAAAAAGTAAGTTTTCCCATTTTTCAGCAAAATTAGAGCATATATGGAGGTTTTTAGGAAAACACGAAAAGGGCTTTAGACCTGGTGCCAAAAGAATAATATGGATCTCGTTTTTTTTCCTTCTAGGTTGTCACGGTTGACATCACAGAAAGTCAAAATAAAGGTTACTTTATATTTGTCGTAGAGCAATAACGTTTCAGTAATATCCATAATACGAAACGTTATGAATGGGAATATCCACTTTGTTATATATGAAGTGTGTGACTAATTTAGAAAAATGAAAAAACGTGCTGATGAGTTCAGCGCTGTGGTCAGGCATTTCAAACCACAAGCCCCCAGCAGACATGACATACAACTCCTCCACTGGCAGCATTTCTATTCACCCCACACTCTCAATTAGGGACCAACCCACTGGATTTCTACATCCACAAGGAAATTAAAGACAAATGTGGTACAAAAATGAACACATCTCTATTGTATGAAAAATGTGTTAAGTTTGCACGGGACATTTTTCTGAAAGATTGTAGGTTTTTCTAGTCCAAAGGGAGCCTGATGATGTGAACATCGAGCTGTATCCACTGTAAAACCACACAGGGAGACTTCAAGCCTGCCTTTTACAGGCCGGTGAGAGTCTGGTCTCCTTGGGGGAGCCGGCCTGCCGACAGATTACTCTCTCACTGTCACAAAGCATCCATTTACAGGCCCAGTGGTGCGGGGTAAATGCCAGTGAAATGTGCTGCTTTGTGATGAATAAACAAAGTTGTTGCTCATTGGTTAGTGAGAGGGGTATCTGCACGGGATAGGAAACTATCACTTTGCATCATAAAATCCTGTATACACACACACACACACACACACACACACACACACACACACACACACACACACACACACACACACACACACACACACACACACACACACACACACACACACG